AAAAAAAAAAAAAGAGACGTATAGTATAGTAAACTCCCCTCCTCTGCAACTGGAAGGAGCTGCTAGTTCATCGGTAGCATCTTAGGTTAACCCTGCTAGAGAACCTCAAGGTCTTATTTTTACACTGTCAAACTGCCAAAGCCTAAGTGCCTTACTCCCAATAACACCAGCCTGCTGGCTCATGTTGGCTGACCCAGAGTCATTCATCAGAGTTCCTGAAACAAAGGCTGGCTTGATGGTCAGCCCCACCCTGGAATGTAATAAGAACTAGTGAACAACCTAGGATGAAAGTGCCAAGTCTTAAGTAGTTAGGAATAGATTGTAAACACCCTCTATTTTCAGTATCTCCTCCACTAGGAAGTTGACAAAACAGTCCAAGAATGTAGAGGACAGATTAAAATGGGAATGCATTAACATGCAAGATTTGATATTGTCCATGTTACAGGGGTGTTGCAAGAAATGTGCCCCCATGGGTAATAGGGTATTCTTGTCCTTAATAGATTTTCCAGTCTCACCCCTTTAATATGCAAGAGAAAGGAATAATATTTAGTGATGAGTTAGTTTATGACTATGTACATTATTCCTTGATCTGTCCAGAAAGATGAATGTTTTTCAGGAGGGTTTTGGAATCATGCGCCCTTGCTGCCATCCCTTCTTCAGCTGGTCTGACCAGGCAGTTGAAAGCGTATAAAAGCTATTTAGTTTCTACTCACTAGCAAACCTGCAGCAGTGGGACAGAGAGAAGTGCCCCTAGGATCTGTAACACTTCATGCCTCCCCTACAAGATATGAAGCCTCATCACGCCACATGGTGCAGTGAAAATCAATTCACACAAGCAGGGGACTAAAAACAGATTCCCTCATAGCTGTAAGGCAGTAACAGTTGCTCTTTTCTACTAAAAGTGCAACACTCTTACGTTGTGCTTGGGCTGGAAGAAAAGCCGATGATCAGACTAGAGGCTGTATGAAAAGGGACACTGTGGAAACGCATCTCATTACACAGTTATGAAGTGTCAAGTCCAAGGATCACTGGGGATGGTTCCACCAATATTTCCCTGTTCTGTTTATATAGCACAAGTCTGCTTCCAAATGCACACAATAGAACTGTTGTAAAAAAGCGCTCACAAGTTAATAACTTTCATGTTGGACTCTATTTTTATTTTGGGCAGCTAAACTCATTTTCATTGCCAAGCTCAGTATTATAGCTGGAAATAAAAGAACTTTGGCTAAGCACATATGAAGCTTTAGCTAACAAGCTTCTTTATATGATCTCATATCTTTTAGGTGATAAAATGAATGGCTTAATATAAGAACATAAAACACACCAACATTACTCCTACAGTGTTTGGTTTTTCCCTGTTTCACACTCCAGGGTTTGGGTGCAGCATTGAAGTTCTTGGTATTTACTTTGTAAGGAGAAAAAAAGACCCCAAAAGAAATCCTGCAATTTTATTGCAAGGATCCAATATTCACACTCACCCTCTGGGCTGTCTGAACAGGAGGTTCCAATTGCCGCGTCCCCACTGTCAGCCGTACTTGAACAGCGCCCAAAGTGACTCTGGAACTTTGCAGACAGAGTTGGGGTTTTCCAGTCAGTCTCCAGGGAACAACTCTTCTGACCTGTGCTGGAGTCTGCAGAGAGGTACCATGAGTATCGCTGTTCTTCAGAGAACTACCTATTGCTACTGCCCAAGGAGAGCCATCTGCTGTAAGCAGCCACTGCTGCTTGCTAGTCTCCCCCAAAGAGTAATCCTCAACCTGTTTCACCTGCTCAGTTACTTGCCAGAGAAGAGACAAAGCCTGAAAAGAGGATGACTTGGCAACTGATTTCAGAAGAAGTGAGATCTATGTTTGCTTAACAAGATAGGAGACAGGGAACGATAAACATTTATTAGACCAAAATTCCCTATCCCTGCCAGGATAGGGCAAGGAATTATTCAAATTCAATTTTAGAAGTAGCATTACAGTTTATTAAAAAGAATCTGAATTTGTTATAAAATCATTTTCCCAACTAGAGCCAAAAACATCTTGCCAGGACTCTGTCCAGTATCGCTCACAAGTCCTCTCAGAGTACAGCATAAACCAGGGCGTCCCAACCCCCAGGCCACGGCCCGGTCCTGGGCTGTGAAGGATTGGCTACTGGTCTGCAGGAAGGTCAGCTGCTGAACTGGAAGTCCGGAAGTGACTGGCATATCGTGGACCGGCAGCCAATTGTTTTTTATATCAAGTATAAAAAAGGGTTGGCTGCCTGGCCTGCCAGTCCACAGCAACTTCTGGTCCACATCTGCTGGTCCGCAGCATAAAAAGGTTGGGAACCCCTGGCATAAACTGCTTCCACACAGCTCCTTGCTGGTTAGAACTGAATCATTATCCATTGACTCATCTGAGCAATTGCTGCTTGTGAAACCTTTCCAGTTAGAAAAGAACCTAACGGTAGCCATCAAGAAACTAAATCAAGCCACTTAGAGGCAGAAGATAAGGACGCAACGCACAGCTCTCGAATCGCGCTGGTCAGCTTGTCGGCGCGACTCCAACCTTGTTCTGGCACTTTAGCAACAGTGTCAGCGCGCTGAGTGACAGCAGCTGCATGCAGAAGTAGAGATGACACTGGCAACAGTGTAAAGCAGCACTGTAAGCACGCTTCCTGCTCCCCGCCATCTTTTTCAAGAGTCATTTGCATGTGCCTAAGCGATAGCCTGTCCCTGGACACTCGTACAACAGTCTGGTTTTGCAGACGCAGGACATGACCAGCTCGAGAAAGCTTTTTAAGACCTAATTTTTCATAAAAAGCTTTTGCTAACTCAGTTCTCTTTGGGGATTCACCCAGGAAGAGCCTACGGACAAGATGCTGAGGGAGCCGGGTTTTAAGGGTTACGGTTCATACCTGGCGGGCTGGCTCGCTGGAACCTCCGGTCCGGGCATTTCTCGAGAGCAGCCATCGCTGAGATCCTGGTTAACTACAGGAGGAACAACCAAAGAGAACCAGGTTTTAAATTAGATTTCCCCCTGGCTAGCAGAGCACAAATATTACAGCTGGATTTTACTAGAAGAAAGTTATGGGTGTTTTATCAGCATCCTTTCTCCAGGGCAGGTTCATTTTTCTCAGGGCAGAGCGGCACCTGATGGGCTCATTCAACTGGTCCCCAAGGTTCCCACACTACATCTATTATGCAATTAGCCCGTTAACAGCACAATAAACGAGATAAATCGAGACTAGCCACACGTGCAAAGTAATTATCACACAATCAACCAGTTAATTGTGCAATACAGGTAGACTGGCCACACGTGCAAAGTAATTACCATGCCATCAACATGGCTATCCATGAACTATGAAACGATGGCTATCCAGCTATTAAAGGAGGCGAGCGAGCACTCAAGAAACAACGCCACAGCTGGTTTCCATCCTGGTGCGAACAGCCACGCAGCAGGGCCCCCAAGGCCCAGACGACACGTTACACGTAGCATCACACCAGCAGTTGTCAACCTGCGGTCCGGGGGGCGCGCGCACGTCTAAAGGGTGCGCGAACAATGGCAAGGAAAGCACGCAAGCGTTTTGAAAACAGGTCGGAAACCACCGGATCACATCGCAACGGGTCACTCACGCAGTACGTTTCGACAGGCCGCGCACCCAAAATAACGACCCCCGTAAGAAGCACGGCCCAGCTACAGAACAGAGCCCAGGGGCTGCCCCCAAACTGGGCAACGCTGCTGCTTGGCCACCACGCTCGGTGGCGGGGGGCGCTGTAATCGGAGCGGTTCCTGCAGAGCCGCTCCAAGTAAAACACCGCAGCGCCACGTGTATACACCCCGCGGTTTAAACCAGGTACGGGACGGCCTCAGGCCTCCCCACACTCACCCCTCACCAACGCCTCGCGCCACGACCGTTACAGCCGCCAGGAGGAGGGGCGCGCCGCGCTCGCGGGCCCCGCCCCCCGCACCACGCTTAGCCTATCCGGAGCGCCGGACCCCCCCTCGCTCCCTCCTCATTGGTCCGCAGGAAAGAGTCGCCAGCCAAGCCCCGCCCAACAGCCCTGTTCCTCGCAGGCGCGTGGGAAGAACGGGAAATGACTCTTCCCGCGACCCGTAGGGAGGACGGGGGAGGGTGCCTGTTCGCGGCCCCGCCCACCCAAGTGAGACCGCGCCCTCTTCACGTCTGTCGTCCCTTGCAGCCCCGCGGGGGGGCGTAGAGCGCGGTAACTCTTTGGGTGCCGGACGGGAGTAGGGCTGTCGGCCTCGCTTCACCGTGTGCGTGTGACGTCATCCGTGATACGTGTGCGACGTGTGATCCATGGGCGTGATACATATGAGACATGGGTGTGATAGGTGTGTGATGTGTGATACTTGTGATATGTGTGTGTAACATGTGGTCCATGGGTGCGATGCATGATACAGATGTGCACCATGTACATGCGATGCGATCACACATCTATCAAACAGCATCGTGCACCCCCATGTATCACGCATCACACATCACACCCATGAATCACACGTATCACACTCATGCAACACACAACACACAGATATCACACACATGTATCATACGTATCACGCCCATGGATCACACACACATCACGTGAGTGTGGTACCTGTGTGTTGTGTGATCCATGCAGTGTGATGCATGATACATGGGTGTGATATGTGCAAGGTGTGAGATACATGGGGGTGCACGATGCTGTTTGATAGATGTGCAATTGCATCACATGCACATCTGTATCACATCACACAAGTATATGCTATAGATCACGCGCACATACATCCCATCTGTGTGTGATGTGTGTGACAGGTATCCGTGATGTGATACATGTGTGCACAATGTACATGTGATATCACCCATCAAACATTGCACACATAGCACATCACACATGTACCACATTACATGATGTGCGTGTGATACGTGTGAGACACCTGTGTGCAATAGATATAATTAACAGAATCACAGACGACGAGGGTGGAGGGGAGCTCAGGACGTCACATCCAGTCCAAGCAGGACCAGCCCCGACTCCATCATCCCAGCCAAGGCTTCGTCTAGCTGGATCTTAAAAACCTCCAAGGACGGAGCTTCCCCAGCTTTTCCAGGTAGCCTACGTGCATCTGATATATACGTGATACATGGGGGTGATTAGTCTATAAGGTGCAAATCTCCCCTGCCTTCCACTTGACTTCAGCCCAACCAAGCTGGCCGCCTCTCAAGATCCATTCCTGGAGCAAACCGAGGCACCCAAGGGCCACCGCTTGCTTTTTCAGGTTTCAGCACTGTGTTTGCAGGGTGGACTACCATACACATCCCCTTTTGGCTTAGAGAGTGAGCCAGCTGGATCCGGACTGAGTGCGCATATCATGAACTTCATGAGTGGAGATATAACAGACCCCACCCCATAAGGGCACTGCATGGCTAGTTTACCATCTACACCTCACCAAGAGAAAAGGCTGCCCAGTTACACTTGCTGCTCCAACAGTACCTGGACTTGGTGTCTGTGCTATAACCAGCTGTTTAAAGCAACTCAGAGAAAGCTACCAGGTTCCCTGATTAGAAACCATTTCCACCATTCTGGGGAGGGCTTTATTAATGCTTATAATCGCTCGTTAAAGAATAGCTTCAACCTCACCATTAGTGCCGCAGTGAGCTGCCTTCATCCTCATGCCAGGGCACTACTGGCTGCCTCAATACAGCATCTCGCCCGGTGCCTGCTGGACAAGGCCTGGGCCTAGAGTGCCCAGCCCCGCCGAGCCCTCCCTGCCCTTCCTACAGCCAGCTGAAGTCTTTTTTTGTAAAAATATATTTCTTACACAGGTGTGTGTGTGAGGCACACCTATATATACCTTCTAGTTAGTGTTCGTAACCTCCTTAGCCCACCCAAAGAAAACCCGTGCACCCACTGCCATACATGCACCTGGCCGCAAGGCATCGCTTCCCTTCCTACAGCCAGCTGAATTTTGGCCCACTAGCTCCATGAGGAGAGAGATGTGGGGGTTAGAGGCATGGGAGGGATGAGGGGAAAGGGTGGAAACCAGAGGTCTTGCACTGCTCTGGGGAGGGGTGACGGATGCAGCATAAGACCTCATTGCTCCCTGCCTCCCTGTGGGTCAGCATAGGGCTGCCCGCGGGGTTGGGGAGGGGAGAGTGTCTTATCCTAACCTTAGTAATTAGAGCCTTTCGTTAGGTTTGGCCACACACTGGGCCCAGAATAGACCACGGGTCGGCATTAAAGGGTAACCAGGCGTGCTGGGGGAGGTCACTTTGTCCAGGATGTTTAAATGGGTAGGTACTAAATGCAAGGCAGGACACGCACCGCTGGCTGTTCGTGGCCCGGGGGGGGAATGGCGAGGTGAAATTGTAACTAGCAGGCTTCCGCGCCGATCACACTCTGCCCCAGAGCCAGACTCCTGGAGAGGTCTCCTAGCTCATCCAACTTCCATCTGCCACCGAGCACCGCTGCTGTCTCCTTCCCAGGCCGGGCCGCGCTCTGCGGAAGAGCTGCAGGGTGGAGGATGGTGACCAGCTCCACGGTGCTGGGGCTGGCGCTGGCTCCCATGGGCTGGGTCTTGACTGGCCGCCAGTGACCGCTCAGTGGAGGGGGTTCTCAGCGAGACCCAGCTTCCCCCGGGGCGCGTCCTTCAGTGACGGGTTCTGGAAGAGCTGCAGAGGTGGCAGCCGTGCCATGCCGGACAAGGCGGCCGTCTCCGGGCCCACGCAGATGCTGAGAGCAATGACGGTCCTCTCGGTGCTCGCTGGCGCTCTGAGCTGTTCCGTCACCAATGCTGGGGTATGCTGGTGGACTCGCACCCCGGACCCTCGTCTCACAGGCACTGCTAGGTCCTCTGCGGGGCCACGTATCCGTGCGCCGTCTCCTACATGGCACATCGCGTGCTAGCCAATATCGCCAGCCCGCAGACCCCGGCTGCGGACAAACTGCACATGGGGCCCTGCCTTTATCTGGGCTGGACCAGAGGAGGGTTGGAGACCCTCACCAGCCTCTGCCTGGCTGCTCATTGCCCAAGGAGGCAGGGAAGCAGCAGTGGGCCTGCAGCCGCCCCGCATGAAGTGGATTACCGAGACAGGACCTCCCACCCAGCCATCCGGGAGGGCATGGGCTGGTTTCTTCCACGCTGTTCCCTTTCCACCTCTCTCCTTGGGCACCAAATGCCGGCAGGGAGCATTGTATCCGGTGCCCTGCGGCCGCAGGGTGAAAGCTCATCCAGATGTGTGGTGCTGGGATATGGCTGCCTATTTCCAACCACCGAGAACAGGTCTGGGCAGGAAGGAGGGAGGCTCTGGTGCTCCAGGGCTGTTTCACTGCAAAATAAATTCACGAACCTGAAATGAGCTGATATTTCAGCCCTTCTACCAGCTTCCAGTCTTTCTCCATCCTGTGGGTTTGTGTGTCCCCATCTCCCCCCCTCCCTTCGCCCTTCCCAGGTTGCTGGAGAGGCCCCTGGCACGTGGGGTGGCCACAGCTTGGGACCTGGGAAGAGAGGTTTCCAGCTGTTGCACATCTGTAATGGGGGGAGCTGAAGCAGGCAGAAACCCACTGATTTATGTATAAGCCATATCTGTAACCTGGAGAGCAATGAGCACAGGTTATGGGACTCTGGTCAGAGCCCCTCTGTGTTGCCTTCCCCCACACGCCTATTCTGAGAACAATGCTCCCCAGAGCATCCTGCCACAGGACCTCTCTGGGCAGCTCCTGTTGCCCCTGAGCTGAGGTTGCTCAACTGTTGCAGGGTGAGCCCAGGCCCTAGAGAGACAGGGAAGAGCCGACTGAGACCGGAGGGGTGGAGAAGGGCTGCTGCAGAACGGGATGAGGCAGGAGGAGAAGTGATTTTCCAAGTACATTTGGCACCCTGCAGAAGAAGGGGGTTGGGTCCTGGTGGCTAGGTGGTCAGAGAGGCCAGTGTCCACCATGAACTGCACAGCAAAGCTGGAGAGAAATGTAAAAACAGGCAGAGATTTTATTTCAGTGTATTGGCAGGGCTGGAGCGGCACCAGCTGGGGCTTGAGCAGAGCCAGGTGATGCTCACGGGGACGTGGCTCCCGCAGTCTCCGTTCTCCCCGAGCGCCCTGGGCAAGCGGACACAAAGCCGCTCCATCCCATCCCCTGCTTGCAGCTGGGGAAAATGAGGCACAACACAACTGAAGGACTTGCCCAAGGGCATAAACAAAAATCAGTGGTGGGGCTGGGACACAAATACACCTGTCTACAGCCGTCGGCGACAGCAAAGGTGGGATTCGGCCATAGGACCCGGCCGGGGCTTTTGGGTGCATCCACCTCCTCCCTGGGATGTCACGCCAGGGCTTGGTTCACCCAAAGCTTCTGCAGCGGTGAGGGGAAGAGAGTCCCTGGAGCCAAGATGGGTCCGTGCTCCAGCCCAAGGGCTGCGCAGCCCCGTTCAACCCCGCCGACACGTTCGTAGGCACTCCTTTCCCTGGAGCTCCAGAATCACAAGCGCCCCATGTCCCTTCCGTGACTGCACAGGGGCCTTGAAGAAGCAAATCCTCTATCAACCAACGCAGCACCTGGGAGCGATTCTGGGGATCCCTCGCAGAGGCCCCAGACTGGCGGGGCAGGCTCCAGGGTGATGCCTGCTCTGGGCGGAGGACTCAGAAAGCCCGTGCCGTGCTCCAGGCCAACGAATGCAGCACCAGCAAGAGGGAGAGCGGCTTCCTCCCTCGTGCGCCGGATGCAAGGCAAGGTCTGCAGGCAGTTCCTGAAGGGGCTGGCATCACCCCGGATCTGCCCAGGGTCCGTGTTAGGGGGTTAGTGCAGCAGCGGCTTCCTGTGGGCTGGGTTCATCACTGAGCTGGACTGCAGTGCCTTCATCCTGGCCAAGCCTGTGAGCCCCCCACACCTGGATGTCCTGGTAGACCTCCTGGTGCTCTTCCTTCCAGGTCTGGAACTTCTCCGAGGTCAGCTCTGCGTCGCCCAGGAGCTGATCCAGGACCTGCAGCTCGGCTTCTTTCGCCTGCAGAGGGGAAAGCGCGTTCCCCGCAGCTCAGTGCTCGTGCCTGGATATGGTCCAGCCCACACCCCACCGGCTGGATGAGCGAAGAACCTCTCTCGTCCTTCCCAGCCTCTGTCCCTGCTGTCCTCTTAGCCCCCCCAGCACAGACCAGGTCCTACCCGACGGAAAAGCTGCTACTAGAGGTGCATGTGCCGAGTAAGGCTGGAAGGAGTCATAATGCGTCATGAACAGCCCAGACGGCTTGCTCAGTTTTAGGGGTGCCTTCCACATAGAAATTACGATGCAGTAAAGGCCTAGTGCCATTTGACTGAGGACAAAGCTGCCTGTATAGCCCACGGGCCTCCTTCAAAGGCTTCAGCTAGCCCCTGCCCCAACTGCGCTGACCTTGAGCGTGCTCTGCAGAGCCCGGACCAGGTGCACCTTCTCGTTGATGTGGGGGTTGGCGTTGCGCTTGATGAAGGACCGGCGGTACTGCTCGCGGGTGAGGAACTGCTGCCGGCCGATCAGCGACACGCCGCCTTGCTTCAGACACTCGATCAGGGACTCCAGGTCTTCATTAGCAGCATCTGCACTGGGTGCAGGGGGGGAAGCCCCTGCCCTCCCAACGCACACACGGGAGATAAGCTCCACAGCAGCGCAGGGGGACTCGGGGGGGTACATGGGACCTGCTCTGGGGACAGATCCTCACAAGGAGGCAGCTGCTCTGCGTTCCTGAGGATGCCAGCCTCCACGAGGCCAGACACGGCCCAGGTTGTGCCCGACAGTCCAACGCCAAACAGCTGGCAAACCCAGGTTGGACTCTGGGAAGGACCGAGTTGAACTTGGAGGATAGAGCAGGGAGGACGGGGTCTCAGTAGCAGAGGAGCCCTAATGCAGCCCCCCTCCCCATGCACCCCAGGCAGCTGAAGCATGAAGGTGGCTGGAGAGAAGAGACTGGCCAGTAAGGGGTGATGGGGACCCCAAGCCGGAGCAATGGTCAGCACAGGATGGGTGGAGCGGCTGGTCTTACCCAGGGGGGAGCGGGGTGCGGTGCTGCTGGGGCTGCCCAGAGGGCTCCCC